GATCGACCAAGGAGGTCGACGAGAATTTTAGTTAATTGCTTAGTTTTATGAATTTTTCTTTTCCTTGTCATTAGTTTCATAAATATTCCCGTAAAGCCGTATTCAACCTTATGACTTGTGATGCTTATTCAACTTTATAAGAGGGTTCAATTATTTAAAATTATAAAAAAAACCAATTCTCCTAATTGTGAGAATATACTCGCCGTTAAAAAATCACCATTAGTATTGCCGAAGCCATAGCACCTCTTTTTAAGCTCAACATTATATGACGTGTTCTTTTAAGGTATATTCAGTCAATTTTCATAACTCGATTTTCCAAATAAATGCATAATTCACTATTTGCATCGTACAATGTATAAGTGATGCTCCCATACCATAAAAGTTCAATATCGAAAAAGATATGTACGTCCGCTCAATACTGACCGACACTTGTCGATTATATCGATAAAGTAGGTATTGATTCACATCATTCACCAAAATTCATTATTAAATATTGAAACAAAAAAAGGTTATATGGCGAATGAGTTATTATTGAGGTTTATCAGGCTGGTTTTCGCTTTCGAGTTATGATTAAAGATAATTAAAATCAATAACTATATAATAAATGATTTGTTAACGGTGGGAATTTTGAATTGAGCGTATTTACAAACTTTGGCGACTTTTTAATTTTTATTACCAATTTTTCGACTAAATTTTCTTTTAGGCTACATCAACAATGGCACCTCATGCTAAAGTAGCTGTTGAGGATGTCGTAGCAGTTATTAAAAAGCATATCGACCATTTTACAGAGAGAAGTAATTTTCCAATTTCTTCGCATATAATATGGAAAACCATGAGCAAGGAGTTGAAAAATAAATGGACACCATATAATGTATATGTGAATGTCAGTAACAATAGGAGAAAGGTACTTGCTATTGCCTGTGATGAATTGGGAATTCCTTTTCCTGAAGAGGTGAAAAATGTTTCACTTCACAAATCAACGTTCGAAGACTCAGTCACTGATCCCTTTAATGAGGTGTTTGAACTGCATGAGGAAAGTGCGGATTTAGACGAATTCAAAGTGCGCGTCACTGCAGCTGAATGGATGAGCATACAAGGAGATGAAAAAACTTATAATGATGGACGTACTCATACTACTCTCCGTTCAGGTATCAGAGATCGGTAAAAATATTACTCTTTAAACTATTAATGGCTTTTTCAAAATTCAATTATTTTTATGACCATATTAATGCCGAATAATGTTTTGATTTTTTCATTTTCCTATCTAATACAAATTTAGACTCACTTATGATCTATTAAATTATGAATGAAAAACTTGTTATTCCATTTTTTTCATTATTTTCAATGGAAAATAAGATTCTTAAAAATAAAATCATTTCGATAATGAGAAATAGAGTAGCCACATTTAAATTGAACTTTGAGTTGAAACTCATCATTGGGGTTTTTTCCCTAATATTAATATCAATGAGTATAATATGAAATTTGCACAAGCGAGTCCAATGCGTTACGTACCAACAAACTTTAATTAAGATTCAGGAGACGATTTTAATAAATGCCAATTCTTGCCTTTTTCATTAATTAATAAGACGATAATGAACATTTTCCTTTTTAATTAGCTACTATCAGAATAA